AAATATAGTGAAAGCAGGGGTTATACTGTGGGGGAGGGACATACAAAGCAACAACGAGATAATCTTATAAATGCGTTAGAAACACATGCATGAATGAAAAAACATTAAAATACATATCTAAGGGTTCATTTTCCTGACATCACATTATCTGGGAATTGGTATAATTTTGACAGAAAATAAGAAGTGCCAGAATTGGAAAAGATAAGGCAGCAGATATGTATTTGTGGAAAAGAAATTCCTTTTTTCATTGGACTTCAGGGTTTTAAAAGAGAAGCAGAGAGAATATGCTGAGGCGTAAGAACTCTAACAGGTACATCTGCTAGTATGCCAGGTAAAGACACACAGTAACACAGACAACCATGATCTAGGAGGAAAACCTTAAGAATATAACTTTAAAAAAAACCCTTTCTAGCTGGGCACTGGTGGCTCATACCTATAATCCTAGCTACTCAGGAAGCTGTGATCTGAGGATCTCAGTTCAAAGCCAGCCTGGGTAGTAAAGTCTGAGAATCATCTCCAATTAACTATCCAAAAGCTGGAAATGGGTCTGTGGCTCAAAGTGATAGAGCACTAGCCTTGAGCACAAAAGTTCAGGGATAGTGCCTAGGCCCTTAGTTCAAGCTCCAGTGTTAATACTCACAGCCTGGGACAGCACAATGGAATACTGGAGTCCAAAGAAATGAGAAAAGACACAGATAGGGGAGAGGGAGCCAAGGGGTTCAGTGCTCACTGGACCCCAAGCTCCTGTAAGCAAGCCTGTTTATTTAGATCAGCTGAGGGGTTCGTGCAGAAAACAAGGTATCTATCATGTGGTTACAGCCATTAACGTGAGATATAGTTTATATGCATAGTGATAATTGACCCCCTTATTGTTAGGGAGAAGAGAGAAGCAAGAAACATTTCACCTTAATATAAAATAGTCATCTTATTCCCAAGGTCTCAAGCTTTATAGAGTTCAAAGAGTTCTAACTTAAACATCAATACCTTACACATTTGTTTACTTTGTCTGACCTTTCCAGGGTCCAGTTCTCAGCCTTCTGAGTACTAATGAGGTGGCAGTCCAACCTCTTAGCCCTTTCCTGGTCTCACAGCTAGCCCCAGAGTTCTTGACACCCCAGGGCAGACAAAAAGAAGCAAAAAAGAAAAGAAAAGAAAGAACATGAATGTGTTGTGTTTGAAAAACCTTTTAGAGCCAGGTGCCAGTGCTCACACCTGTACTGTAATCTTAGCTACGCAGGAGGCTGAGATCTGAGGGTCATGGTTCAAAGCCATCCCGGGCAGGAATGTCCATGAGACTCTTGTCTCAGAAAAATGGAAGTGGCACTGTGGCTCAATTAGTAAAGTGCTTGCCTTGAGCTGAAGAGCTGAGGGACAGCACCCAGGCCCAGAGTTCAAGCCCCACGACCAACAAAAACAAAACAGAAAAAGACCTTT